CTGAAACTTGACACACATGCGAAACCTGCTTCTAAATCACTAGGAATATACTTAATTATTACAGGTACTTTTATAGCGATATCAATTTACACAACGCTTATATGTATATATTATACATTCACATCAGTCCCTCAAGGAGCTCACAATCTAAGGTCCCTAGCTCACATTCACACATATATGTACTAGGGCCAAGTAATACAGTAACCAGTACTAGCATATCTTTAGAGCAGTGGTTCTTAACCTTTTTGGAGGTACTGAACCCCACCAGTTTCATATGCGCATTCACCGAACCCTTCTTAATTGGAAAAATAAAATATGATTTTTAAAATTCAAAACATAGGTATATATTTATACATAGGTGCACAAAATGAACAAAACCATTAAGAACAAAGAACAAAACCATTAAAACATGATTTTCACACAAAAACAAAATAATGAATATTTACCGCAAATCAGTGTGACTTCTGCTGTTGTCTTTCAGAGGCCAGTTCAGAAATGCGCGGCATTACCTTGGCAAGTGCCACTCTCATGTCATTTTCGCAACAAAGTCTGTTCCTTTTCTTCGTCTTTATGTCCAGCATCCTCGAAAAGGATTGCTCGCAAAGATATGTTGTAACAAACGGTATGAAAATTCATCCCCCATAGTAATTCATCCCCCATATAGTAATTCATCCCCCATATAGTAATTCATCCCGCATAGTAATTCATCCCCCATATAGTAATTCATCCCCCATATAGTAATTCATCCCCCATAGTAATTCACCCCCCCTATAGTAATTCATCCCCCATATAGTAATTCATCCCCCATAGTAATTCATCCCTCATAGTAATTCATCCCCCATATAGTAATTCATCCCCCATATAGTAATTCATCCCCCATAGTAGTAATTCATCCCCCCATATAGTAATTCATCCCCCCTATAGTAATTCCTTCCCCATATAGTAATTCATCCCCCATATAGTAATTCATCCCCCATATAGTAATTCATCCCCCATATAGTAATACATCCCCCATATAGTAATACATCCCCCATATAGTAATTCATCCCCCATATAGTAATACATCCCCCATATAGTAATTCATCCCCCATATAGTAATTCATCCCCCATATAGTAATACATCCCCCATATAGTAATTCATCCCCCATATAGTAATTCATCCCCCATATAGTAATACATCCCCCATATAGTAATTCATCCCCCATATAATAATTCATCCCCCATATAGTAATTCATCCCCCATATAGTATTTCATCCCCCCTATAGTAATTCATTCCCCATTGTAATTCATCCCCCCTATAGTAATTCATTCCCCATATTAATTCATCCCCCATATTAAGTCCCCCCTGTGTCAATTCACTTACCTTTGCTCCGCGCGTTCCTCTCGCTGTATTCCCGCGCCGTTCCGGTCTTCAGGGCGGACTGTGAGAGGAGCCTAGCTCCTCTCACGTTCGTCACGCTGCCCCGCCTACACACATCCTGACAGCCAATCACTGGCTATCAGGATGTGAGTGGCAGCGAGACTGGCCAATCATTGCATTTGAGTCCCTGCCGCCCGAGAGGAGGGAGGGGAGCGGGCGCCCGGCACACAAGAGCCGCGGCTTGCCGACCACTGGGCATGTCATCACAAATCATGAGTCGGGTGTGGGTCACCTCCGCCGAACCCCCGAGACTGACTCACCGAACCCCTGGGGTTCGATCGAACCCAGATTAAGAACCACTGCTTTAGAGTGTAGGCGGAAACTGGATTACCCAGAGGATACTCACACAGGTAGGACTTGTAGACTCCAGGCAGGTAGTGGTGTGGCTTGGATTTGATCCGATGATGCTAGTGCTGCCGAGCGAAGTGCTAACCACTTAACCACTGTGCAGTACACCTGCACAAGCAAAAAAAGGTGAGAATGTACCTTTAGCCTGGGTTCACATATGTGCGGTGCGGTATATCACATGTGATTCGCACAGGAACCGCACCACATTCCTGAGCAAATCACATGCAATTTGTGTGCGGTGCGATTGGAGCCATACATTTTCTATGGCTCTGTTCGCAGCACACCCTCACAAAAAACATGCAGGTCCCTTTTTTGGGTCCGCGCTAGAATCGGATCGCATAGGTATTCACACCTATGCAATCCGATTCTGCACATCGCACCTCGTTTTGCAGACCGCTTTCGGGGTGTTAACTTAGCATACACACCCGCATTGGTTCGCATAGACAGGGTGCGATTTTGATGCGGTGCTGAATTTGCACTGAAGACGCTGAGAATTCCGCACCACATCAATGTGAACCAGGGCTAAAGGCCCATTGACACTATGAGCGGTGACCTGCATTTTTCTTCACCAGATAAACGCAGCTCACTGCTAGCACAGCTGTTTTCTTTGTGCCCTGTTCACACTGTAATGTTGGTGTGGAACAATGCTGCATGTCAGAATTGTTCTGTACTACACTCAGGGCGGACTGACAACTCATGGGGCCCCCGGGCAATAGGGAATCATGGGGCCCCTGTGTCCTTGCCCACTCTCAAAGCACACCCAAAAAAGCCTATAAAAACGTAACAGGGGCATTTCATGGGGCCCCCTACTGACCCCGGGCTGTGCCCGAGTACTCGAGTGGTCAGTCCGCCCCTGACTACACTGGATGGTGCATCGCACTGGGCTGCTGTGCTGTGACATGAATGAAGTATCTAAAACCCAACCGAACATGAAGTGTCACTCCATTCCAGGCTCCACTCACAGAATAACCCAGTGATTCAATGTCTGTTGGGTGCAGCTCCAAAGTGGCTTATCATGTCCAATTATCAATGAAATACAAGGGAAAAATGGAAGCACACACCGAAAGCCGCTCAATTTCAAATGTGCAGGAAGGCTTCAGCTCTATCACCTCCTGAACCATGCCCTGCTAACGCGTTTCACTCGTCATGGGCTTAATCATAAAGGTCACGATTTGAAATCAAGTGGCTTTTGGTATGCGCTCCCATCTTTCCTCTGTATGGATGAAGTATTATTATGTGACATCTCAACCAAAGTTGAAGAAAGAAGAAAAAAAGCAAGCAGTGAAACGTGCGACGCACTGCTCCCTGCCAGATCCTCTGGTATCCCGTGCAGGCTAGTGTTAACTGTGTGATTGCAGCCATAGCTAGAAGACTTTTTTATAATCTCAAAAGTGTGTCATTTATGTCTATGGCAGGTGTCACTAATGAGAGGTTCCTGGGTCACATTTCACATGAGCTGTGCGGCTATAGTCCAGACGGCGAGTGTTTTCTGGTATTAACTGTAATTAGCAGCATACTGCCTGTCAGAGTTTGTTGTCTGCCATCATTGTAGAGTGTAATCCTGTAAGAATCCTGTTCTGAATAGGGGATTGAAGTGTGTGCTTGTACTGACATGTTCCTCCAATTACCAGGGCAAGGTGCATGTTTGAGCAAGCTGGGACATGGCTGACTCACTCCACAATGATGTCAGCATAGGACTGTACTGGGTGGGAACTGCAGTAATGTGATCCAGGGAACAAAGCTATTTATAATGTGTGATTCCTCTACAGGGAACTGAGCTCTTGTCAGTTTTCATGGTCTATGAAGACACAAAGACCTGCCTATCCATCTGATTGCTGGGCTGGCCTTCTATATGTATACCTGCTCTGTCTGTGGGTACGAAATAGAAATGTGATATGATTTACAAGTGAGCAGGTTGCTAAAAATGTGCCAGTTTGACAATTAGTTTGAATTGGTCAAGGGTTTTGGTTTATGTTTTTTTATGTGAACTTATACTGTAGATAGCCCATTTCATACAAGCGCCCTCCTTTCTGTCTCACAGGGGATCCTAGACTGATCCCCTGAAGTATCTGATTAGAATGGAAACAGATGTCACCTATGTGACATCCAAGTCTTTTCCTTCATCATGTGATGGAGATAAAAGAGACCTTTGTAATCTCTTTGGGTGGCCAGATATACAGTGCGCCAACCTATATATGCCCACATCAGGTCAGTAAAGGCAAACCTGAACACAAACATTGGTCCAAAGAACCTGGATGTGGGGTAATATATGCAGACATATACACACCTACATCCAGCCACTCCTAGAGATACATTGCTGCCCGTCTTTGATCTACGTAATCATGGGTCGAAAACAGACTGTCAGAACACCTGAGTGCTAATGCAATTACAAATTTAAACAAGAAGAAGCTGACAACTTAAGTGATGATATGCAAATGACCTAAAGTGGAACTACACTGTATCCAGATACAGATACCACAAACCAAAAACGCTTCTTTAATTCATTTTTAATATTCAAAGCAAACTCACTCATCCATCCATGCCTCCATTCTTTATTTATCTGAGAAATCACTTTGAAAAATACCCCCCTTAGCATATCTTGCTATGGCCATCATGAGTAAGGGCAGATGATTCATGTAGTATTTACTTCCTGGAATCCATCTACCTTAGCTCAGACATGCAAGCAGGAGGATGTGCTTAGCTGAGCATAGTCCTCCTGAAGACTACTGGGATGTAGGACATCATTTTCCTAGGCCCGAAAACCAGGAACTGAAGAAGTAGTCAATGTTGATTGAGAGAATGAAAGCTCCATTTTAAACAATGTACTTTTTAAGGGTCAATGGGTCAGCTTAACAGCCAGGCAACTAGAATTTTCAAAAGGAAGTCAGCAAATAAAGAACTGCATTAGCCCAAAGTTACAGAAGTTACTTAGCTCTGACTGCACTGAACTGCTAAAAGCTTAACTATGATTCATTATTTTACAATGCATTGCACTTTCAATTTTTATTTTAGTAATCCTCAGTTTTGGGATGATGATGATTGATGAACAACCTGTATCTTAAATATAAACATTCCTTTTCATTGGATAATGCTTTTGAGATTGATGTACTAAGAAAAGCTTAGCAAAAAATATTCTGTAGGGGTATATATGAAATAACTTTATTAGTATTTATTAGTGTTATAGGCTTCCTTTTTAATTTCATGATTTTTTTTTACTATGTTGCAGAAAACATGGATTCAGCCAGGGACTTCCTCTCACAATCCACTGGGTGCACTGAAAAGGTTCGCCGAAACCTCTTTGGACCTGTGGATCACGAGCTTCTCAGAGCAGACTTTGAAGCAGTACTGAAAAGCACCGCAGAGCAGGCCAGGCAAAGGTGGAACTTTGACTTTGTCACCGAGACCCCTCTAGAGGGAAACTACAAATGGGAGAAAGTGGATTGTGCACATTTTCTGCATCCTACTGAAGCCAATGAATCAGATTCATCAAAAGAAAACAAAAGCTCATTACAGGTAATTCTGAAAATATCAATGTGGAATAAACGAGGAATGTCAAATGCCAGGACATAATTAATAGCTGTGTGCATCCAATTTAGACATATTTTATTGTATGTTAAAGTTGAACTTTAGGAAAAGTTAAAGTCTTCTCTTGCAGTGAGGCATCATCTAGGGCAGTGTTTCTCAACCTTTTTTCAGTCAAGGCACCCTTTCAAATTATGGACAGTCCAGAGGCACCTTTTAAAATTATGTACAGTCCTGAGGTACCCTTTAAAATTATTGACAGTTCCGAGACACCCCATTCTAAAATGTGAAAAACTATTCTAATAGTTTTATATAATGCAGCAACATCCACACATGTAGGTCACCCAACATTAGAGGTGATTTCTTCTTCTAAAGCAAATACACTTTTGCACACTGGTACTGAGTAGTATTCCAATGTTTCTCTTCTCCCTCAGTTTTTCTACATCACTGAGCTAATGTGACCCCAGCACTGATGGAGAGGGCCAGGGGAGGGTCAAACTAGGATGATGTGCAGGCAGCTGACATCCTCCTTATCTACTGACCATGTCATTGGGTGTCAGGACCCCAGTGGCTAGAAGGTCGTAATGGTGCACAATGAAAACCTGTGACTTTGTGCAACTAAAAGGCAGGTTTGTTCCATCCGCTTTTGGCCAATTTTTAGACATTTTGCCAAGGCACCCCTAAAGAAACCTCAAGGCACCCCAGGGTGCCTGGGCACCCTGGTTGAAAAAGGCTGATCTCCCGGGTCTTTTGGGATGAAATTTTCACCATGCTATCTACACTTAGCGCTACCACTTTAAGACCTGATCCAACAACAGCCCTACTCAATCAGTGCCCCCCTGGCATCTCCAACCCGCAATTCAAGCTCCTTATGAAAGTTACAACGGCGGCTAAGCAGGTTATAGCGAAATCCTGGAAATCCCCCACCCTTAGTGTTGCTGCCGTCAAAACCAGAATAACACAAGCCATGATACATGCAAAGGTGGAGGCCACAATTCTTGACACGATCCCTAAATTTTTGCACATATGGAACCCCTGGGTAGAGCGCTTCCTCCCGCCTAATTTTGATGAATCACTCCTTCTCCCTTGATTTTTATACTGTGCGCCCGGAATACTGTCAATAGTCCTTCGTGGGCAACTCGTGGAGTCTGCTGTAAACTAGTTGATTGTTCATGGAAGTCATCGTTATTGTTTTTTTCCCATACCCTCCCTTCCTCCCCCGTCTGATCCCCCTCCAAACTTCCCCCTACTTCTTAAATGCACTTAGGAGATGTTACCTTGGATTGGCTGGGACGATAATGTCATCTATTGCCGACTCTTATGCTCTTGCTTTTGCTTGAATTATATAGACATCTGTAATGTGATCCTCATTCATTTTTCTTCAATGTCCTATTGCCTCTTCAATGTCCACTGTATATCTACAATGTCTCCTTGATTGTGTTGTTAAAGTTTTCTCTTTTGTTAATAAAAATGTTTGAACAAGAAAAAGGCTGATCTAGGGGACCGGGTACAGCAGGTTTGCTTACCCGATCCTCCATGCTAATAGACTGGTCCCTACAGCCTCTTCTCCACTGCATTTCAGCAGTCAGATGCCTCTGATGTCTTCAGGATGGATGCAGGAGCCATAGCTCTGCAGTGAGCATGAGGGTGATGAGGGACAGTCCATTGCCAGAGTGTAGAGGAGCACCGTTTGCCAGGGAAACAGAGGGTCAAGCAGGTAAAAGTGAAGTGTCATAACAAGAACCATAATTTGATACAATATGATTGCCATCTAGGGAGAGAAAGAGGGTGAGGAAAGCAGTAAATTAAGTTATACATTAACTTGCAAGCCTAGCAACTTTGGCTGTTGTGGAGACTAGGTGTCCAGGCTAAGAATGAATGAAAGTTGGACAGCAGGTGGGAGTTCACCTCTCCTTGGTGAGGGAGTAAGTATTAAGGAAGGAAGGGATGTTGTAGTGTGAATGATGATGGTAAGGAAAGCAGAGGAAGAAGAGACGAAGGGGCTGGGATGGGTGGTCAGTAGGTTACAGGGGAGGCCTGGCTGGGGACGCATGTGCTTGGACAATTGTCACGCTACTTATAGAAGCAGCAATTGCAGATCTATTCTGGGATTTGGTACAACATAGTAGGGGTTATTTACTAAAGCTGGAGAGTGCAAAATCTGATGCAGCCCTGCATAGAAACCGGATTCCAGGTTTTATTGCCAAAGCTTAATTGAACAAGCTGAAGTTAGAAGCTGATTGGCTGCCAGCTGCACTAGATTATAGAGTGCTCCAGTTTTTGTAAATCTCCCCCAGTGTATGTATTCTCAAAGCTGATCACCTGGCAAGCAGCTGAATCCAAATTTGGAATATATATATGGGGAGCCATTTACCCATCAGAGAATTTGTAATTTTGTGCATACAGTTTCAAGATCCAGCCATGGAACAATCAGGCCATTGACCTCCACTGCACTGGCAGAACAACTAGGTCCAGATCACACCCCTAGCCTACTGATTGAACAGTAGAAGAGTTTCAACATACTCATACTTTCATGACTGAAAAGAGTGTTTAGTGCAAAGCTGAAGTGGAAAAATGTTCCAAATTTACCCTCGGCAGCAGACTCCAAAGACATGCTGGTAGGTGAATTGGCTCCTGTCTAAATTGGCTCTACTTTGTGTATGTAAACGTGAGTTAGGGACCTTAGATCGTATGCCCGTTTGAGGGTTGGGGACTGATCTGAATGCACAATATATATGTAAAGCGATGAGTAAATTGACGGCGCTATATAAGTACCTGAAATAAATAATTAAATAAAATAATTATTTTACAGGTGCATTATCATTTCAATGCCACAAGTCAGAGGGCATTGTAGAATTTAGATAAAGACCAGGTTTCCTTTGAGAGATGTCCCCCTCCTTAAACCGCAGGTAAGTGAAGTTGCCTATCGTTGTAGGAGGAGGTTGGACCAGCCTCCCCACCCTCAAAGGTTTACACCAGACAAGCCTCAGATTTAGGGCGTTGGGGATGCAGAAATGGAAAACTGACCTGGAAACGCCTACAGCCTATTACCAGGGGTGGATTAGAAACTTTTTTCCAACTTCAGGTTTGCTTTAGATTTTTTTAGTCTGCTACTTGTTTTATACTAAGACGACAGGTGCCTGTTAAAGCCTGTGCCGTGTGTTTTACAAGGAGCTGGCAAGTACCATGAAGTCAATGAGTAGCTGATGATCTTGTGCTGCAACTCCCTATTGCTCATTAAATATTACATAAAAATGTTGGATCTTTGTACTCTGTGAAAAACTTAAACTCCACTTGCACTTCATTTTACAATTTTAAACATCAACGTTATGTTCACACCAGAATCGCAAGGCAACTTTGTTTGTCTTTATAAGCCTGAAAAGCCTCATTTGTGCCCTTCTCTGATTACTTTCACTATGTTACTAGGACCTGACTTTCCATGAGTTAAAGAATCTACCAGCTAGAGTAGGACAGCATCAGCAGCCACTAAGCATAATAGCTATTGGTCACCCCTGGTAGGGGTAGGACAGCTTAATTTTTCAGTGCAGCCATGTCAAAAATGATGTTTTTTATACTATTTATAGCTCTCCCTTGGACAGCTGTAGAATAAAACAGACGGACGTTTTATTCTAACTTAGAATGACTCTGCCTCTAAACCCCTCTAAACTCCTATGTGTGCAGAGGTTCACATGGAGGGGCGTTTTAAAGGCAGAAAAATAGTCAAACGCCTGTAAAATGGGCATCTTCAAGCTCAAGTGTGGCCTTTTGCTATGCTCTGGAAGGCAGGTTAGCTGTTTGAATGTAGTTTGTGTATTTGGCTAACACTGAATACATTTTTAATTGATTCCACTTCCTTTTACTCTCTTATAGATTTCTTTCAAGTGAAGCGTCACTGTTCTCCAGTTCCTTCTCTGAAACAGTCATGCGCCTGATTCCAGCAGTCATGCGAGTTACTTTCCGAGCCATCTTCCGCAAGAGAAGAAATCAAAAGTATATATTTGCAGAGAAAAATTCAAAGTTTGTAGGATGTACTTGAATACAGGTAGAGCATAACTGGACTGGAGACCAGCTAAATATTTTGATGCACTTCATATAGACTCTGGGGGATATTAAGGCATAACTTTAGCAAACTAAGAGTTGAATTTTTGCAGACAAATGAAGAAATATTTCCTATGATCCCAGGGACTGTTTGTGTATAATTGTATGGTATGTATCATGTGTATATATTGCAAAGTGAACTTAAAACACTGCATATAAGAAAGAGACATGCAGGTGAAAAAAATAGGTTCATAATGTAGAAACTACAACAGAACCGTGGTTTTATGTAGATAAAAATGGGATATTATATTTTAAAATGGACCTTTTATTAAACAAACCTGATGTGCTTCACAAATGTGGCACAATAATATAACTATATAATATATAATTAAAGTAAAAAAAAAAACTATTGTCTGAAGTAGAACTTCAAAAGCATTCCTTAGCTTGTTTATTTCTGGCCAGCCCCATGTCCCAGGTGTCACCATCAAAGATTCCGCTGTGTCTACTGCAGCAGCATTGTTACACTTTAAGGAAATAATCAGTTCTGCATAGTATGTGACCACAAATATTGGCCCTGCCTATGGTCATGGGTAGGCTAGGTAGACCCAGAAATAGGTAAACAGAACTGCTAAGGAAGTTTTGCTTTGTGGTTGTACTGTCTGAGCCTACAGTAATAGCAAGAATTAAGCTTGCTTTTATAAATAGTTACTGATGCAGGCCAAAAGGGAACCTCTCTAGATATCATCAGAGTTCGGAAATATTTATTGACTGCCAGTGGTAGTCCAGAAAGAGCTCCCAAAGCTTATTCTAATGCTGGTTAGCTTACCAGTTGTTGTTACTGTAAGGGCATGACATTATACATACACAACAGACAGATGCCCTGTGTCCGTGGGATAGAAATACCTATTGACTGGCCAAAAAAGGGTTGAGGGTGCATTTTTTTAAATTAAGTGTATATTTTTAAAATAACCTCATATATTATATATTGCAGCTATAGCACAAAATTGTTATGTTAAAAGTTCATATTTCCACCCATGAAAGATCCACTTTAAAAAAGTTGATGCGGCAGTAAACCAATGTGTAAACTGGAATGATAAAAAAACATAAGCAGCAGATTGTTGACATCATAGATTTTCAGCGCATACCACTTTTGGAATAAACACCCTTTGCACCTCCTGGTAGACAAGATTAAGCATACCTCCCAATTTCCATTCCCCAATAAAGTGTCCAGAGGAACATGGGATGTTGGAAGCGGGGATGGGGGGGGGGGGTAGTAGCATTTATGTAAACAGTGACCAGCTGCCTATGATGTAACTTCAGATTACACACTTTGGTGTCATGCCAAAAGCAACTTTATAAATATTGTACAGTTGAAAAGTCTGCTTCTTCTTGTATATGTTTAAGATATAGAGATCTCCAACTATGGAAGGGTTTTTATTTAAAATGGAGATATCTAAGCAATATTTTACAAAAAATTAGTTAATTTATCTGAATACTTTTTTTTATGTTGATGCTTTGTTAGAAAATCTGTACAGTAATATAAATATAAGATGGGTTCTCAAGTAAATCATTTTGTTGCATTGCTTGTATGACACATCCCCAGATCTTGCTTTGTTTGCTGCCATGACCTTATTTAATGTCTTGCTTAATTGCACAATTTGTAATTGGGAGCAGGTGTAGGCACCTATTAGCCGGAATATAGACAAGTATTTTGTCTATTTAAACCAGGTTTGTGCAAACTCTGATGCAATTGAGAACACAAATTGCACATACAAAGAGCTAAGCGACTAGAAGCTAAAATTTCTAAGTAACATTTTATATTTTTAACAAAAATATTTTAGTAATTGTAACACTAAGGGCTATACCACATGCTGACTTTTCCAATTTTGATAAGTACAAGATTTAGGCTTTTTGCCTAGTTAGAAAGAAAATCTACTGTCAGGGTAGTCCCATACTCAGATTTAAGTCAAGTAATTGTCAGGCTGTGTTGCTTGTACCCTAAGGAGCCTTCTTTTGCCATGTCAGTGCTCCCCCTTTCTACAAGGGGAAAAAAAGCTGTTTTTTTTAAACAACCTATGCACCATAGGAAGATCCTGAAATGTATGTGCATAGTTAACTTTCTGAAAGTTGAAATTTGCACAAGGTTAGGCATGATCTCCCCTACTCCCCATGTGACAGGGCTGGGGGTGCTTTTTTCTTCATATCTGATTCCTTCAGTTTATTTCTGGAAAACTATCACAGTTTAACTTTGTGTTATGGCAGTGATATTGTCTAAGTTCACCTATGTTTACTGAACTGCACTGCAACTGCACTTTACTGACCACTGTTCATTCACCAATTTTCTTTCATCGGGTGAATTTTCTTTGCAAAGTGGATCATAGTTGATATGGAAAATTTCTATTGCCTTGTACAGTGTGGCCAGTTATCATCATATCTCATGGCCACGTTTTCTGACCCTTGGCTGGTCAGGTTCTTTAGGATGGGAGAGGCTGCTCTACTAGGGTCTGTGGTTACTATCAGTAAATGGAACAGCTTGGATAATCCAAAGCCTGATGGACTTTAGGTAGCTCCCCAATGTAAAGGCATTTTAAACAGATTTTCCTACAGTTTGACAACTACTGCCACAACATATCAGGTGCCATTAATATATAAACTGTGCAATAAAAATAACAGTTTTGTTGTGCAATTATAGCACAAACTGAGGGTCAAGCACTTTAAAGTACAAGAAATATGAGCCCCATCTACCAGCCTTCCTTATCATGGTGAGATGGGTGTGATTTCATTGAAATGGGGTTTTGGGTAGATCAGAGGTAGGGGACACTCCATGCCAGTTTGGGTGTGTAAATGTTAACATGCAGTGCATATCATCAATAAAATAAACAGTGTACACCGGTATTCCAGAATATAGAGTAAAGAATTGCTCTTTTAGGCCTTGTTTACGGAGGTGGTTGAACCACTCCCCCCTCCCCCTCTCGATTGCTGAGCCATTTCAGCACACCTTGCTGCAGTTGCGGCAAAATCTTTTACAACAGGCCATGTTTGGCAGGCAGAGCTTACACCAAATTCCACTCATTCAAGTAAATGGTGACACGCCACAACCATGAGCAATCATTGGCTTTCGGTTGTGGCACAGTATTTCAATAGAAAAAAATGGGTATTCACAAGGCAGCAGTATCGCCTTCTCCAAATGCCTGGAAGTCATTGCCCTGTCATAGAGAGTGTCACTCGTATAAACGAGACCTTAAAATGACATCAAGAATGATCAGGAATAATCAACACATTGGGGAATGGGGGAAGTTTAAAATAAATATAGAAAATGGGATATTTTCCCCATGAATGTTAAAAGGTAACCTAAGAAAAGGGCATACCAATGTCTTAGTGGCTTTATCCTTCCGCTAGCCCTAAGTGTGATAGCTAAATATAGTTCTTTTTGAGTGGTTTTAGGGAAAGCAAACACTTTTAGTATATGTTAAAAGCAGGGCCAGAGTTATGCACAAAAAAAGCGCTACTATAGGTCTTACCTGAAGCAATGGTAAGGGTGTTCGGTGCAGCTTTTTTCTTTCCAGGAACATGCTAGGTGTATGAATGTAGGGTAGCCTAGCTTATGATGGGCCACCATTGGTCTTATCCACAGACCTGAAGGAACAAAGAGCTAAGCATGCCAGACAGAGCGACCACCATCATGATGAATACATACGTTACATTTTTTTTTACGCAACTCCCTGGTTCTCTAAAACTATTTAGCTAATAAAGGTGGACTTTTCCTATACTACCTGACTTTACCACAATTTAAAATGGACCTTACAGTGTGAATTAATATATCTGGGCTAATCCCCATCAGTAATGGCCTCTTTAAAAAAAAAAAAAAAAAAACTGTAGGAGGTTGAGGTCTAGTTGGTCCTCACTGTTTTTGAAATTATGATACTTTCACTGATGTTTCATTATGGCACAGAACCTGGCCAGTTTATGTAAACTGAAGATGTATACCCAAGTGTATTACACTCATTTGTGCTTTAATAAAACTTTTTGACCAAAAAATACCCATAGGGAAAAAGTTATTGAATATACGTAACTTTTTTTCCTCCGGCTTCCAGCACACAGCGTCTAGGGGAGGGAGATACCATGCTCCTTGTGGCTAGATTCCAGGGAATGCTGAATGCTCGTGAGAAGCCTCTCTTGCATTGTGCTGTAGTATTACCTCATGAGATTTGGACTAATCAGCCCTCTTGGATTTCATCCACCTATAGTATGGAAGCTGGTGATAGGGTAAAAACATTTATTATCCTTTTTTTCCCCTGCAGGTTTTTATTTTATAGCTTTAACACTGCTACATATGATGAGGGAAGCACCGTGATATGTAAGGTTGACCTCACATTTTCCTGCAAGATCCACTTTAGATGTATTGTTCTTATTATTTTTTTACAGTTTGTTTTCATATTCCTGCTATAATTTAAATATCACGTTCATACAAGCATTGTGGCAGTAAAGATTGTTATCTGAGCTTGCTGTACCTCTGGGAATTGCAGGAGTTTGGTTACTGATGTTTTCTTTGGCTATGGTAAAAGGTAACAGGAATGCCAATACTGTATGTTTATCAATAAATGTAATCTATAAATGTAGATATCTTTGTGCTAAAATAATTGTAAGCAAACACAAAGGGGAATAGTGGACTGCATGAAAATGGAGACTACTAATACATAAAGGAAAATGCTAGGTTAAGCTGGCCATAGACTAGTAGATTTTCAAATGAACATTCCTATGACTATTTGAATATTATTATGTGATACAAATCACATTTACTGTTAGAAATTAATTTGCTTGAGAAAATGTTTCCTTCTTGCTCCTGAATTTTGTCATCATTGTGGTTAAAAATGAACATCCATTTGACCACACT